GATTTAATTAACACTAAAAGGTATCTCATCCCGCGTTGTAACATCTATTACCTAGCAGGGTTGTGCTCGACTCAAAAAAAATTTGCCGACTTGACTCAGCATTCAACTTCAGAAAGCCCTGACTCAACTCTGACTCAAACAAGGAGCTGATTTTTTCCCCGTGACTCGACTCATGACTCAAGCGGCTCAATGAAAATATGAGTTGACTCAAACTTGACTCAAATTTTTTGTTGAGTCAAGTGTGTTGACTCAAAATTGACTCATAAAAAAAGCTGTTGAGCGGGGGGGGGGTGAAAAAAATTCGGCAGCAAGGCCAGGCCTAAGCTGTTAAGCGAGGGGAGAATGAAAAGCTTATATATTTATGTTTCTAGAAAGGTGAGTCAGCTGACTCATGTTCCTAAATGTTTTTGACTCAACTCAATGTCAAAAGTTATTTTACTGACTCAACTCTGACTCAACTCAACACCTTAATATTTTTGTCCGACTCAACTCTGACTCAACTCAACAGCTCAACATTTTATCCGACTCGACTCAACCCTGACTCATTTGAGTCAGAGTTGAGTCAAATTTCTGACTCGACTCATGAGTCAAGCACAACCCTGTTACCTAGGACCGCGTCAATTTCGGGATTCTATCGTTACAAGAGTTGATGAAAATCGCAAGCCAAACGTATACCTTTTCAGCAGTCCTGGCAGTAGGTACTTGAATCGCTTAGAGCTTGATACATTCGCTCATGATTCATCATGCCAGGAAAACAGGCCGCCATTTATAGTACTAAGCAATTCTACTAATTCTTCGATGTGGAAGGCAAATTACCATTGTTATTACAAAGAGATAAGGTGTCTTTCTTGTGATATACATCCCATAAACGACCATACCAGAGAAGGGAGGTGCTGCCCCCCGGCTGCTGGTATCTCCTTTATTTACATCATTAGCAAGGCACTCGGCTCTCGGTGGCCGGTACACGTATCTGCAGTGGCGCAGCTGCGCCTGGCTGTGGCGCGCCCTGCCAAACTTTCCAGTGCACCGGACGTCAATGTAGACTTAACAGGGCGATCCAAATAAATACTGGAAGAGTAGGACAGATACAATGATATTTAATAATAGTGCAGTTGTTAACCCTGCGAGACACGTGGGCTGTAGAAATAATCGAGACCGATTATGGGGCAAATGGGCCGAGGTCGCTTCTGGCGAACCGACCGATATGCCCGTCAAATTGGGATAGAGACTAGACTCTGTGTCTGAATAACCGAAAGCTTGTGTATAATAGTTAAAAACACTTTTCGCTAGAATTGTGTATTCTGTTGAGAAATGAACCTGAGTTCTCGGATATTTTTGCAAAGCCGCTAACTCATAAGGTTTTACAGCTCTAAGCCTGCACGCCCCAGGTGGGGACCTCAGTCAACTTCGTCATGATGGGAGGGAAGGGGGGGTTATTTGGTCACACCAGATCTCGAAATCTAAGAAAACGAAGATTTATCTCGGAAACTAAGAAAGCCAGAGAGACACAGGGAAAGCAATGGATAGCTCGCTATACTTAAGAGCTTTCAGAATTATTCAGGTCATTCCTGGGTCATGCCATCGCAGTGGGATCACTAGAGGTCACCGACAGTAAAATTATCACGAACAATTGCTCCTGACTTAGACACATTTTCACAAATTGGCGCATAACTCGGGAAGGGAGGTACCTACAGCGCCGCTCTTTTAGCTCTTTTCGATAGCACTTTTGAAGCTCTCTCTAGATAATGTTCTTAGATTGCCTGCAGATGGCAGTTCTTCAAAAATTTGATGTTTTGGCAGATTTCTTTCCTATTAACTTTTGACAATGAATTCCTGGTTCATTCTCTATCGATCGGCAAAAGTTGCGCTAAGATTGGTTCAGAAACCTGGCCGTGATAAACAGTCTAAAATGTATCTGCAATTTGCCCATTTTTGCCCCCCCTCTACCCCCCTATTGACATTTTTAATTTTTATTTTTTAGAAATGTAGATCACGTTGAGCGAAATCGAATGCCGTTTGAATTTTGAAAATCAACCCGCTAGATCTCGAGATATCAAGGGGGGTCGTAAACAGCCCCCCCTGCCACTAATAGGGGTAACCAGGAGCCTGCCACTAATAGGGTTAACACTTTCAGACATCGGGCTACAGGTAAACATATACACTGAATCAGAAAATTGCACCCATGACCCCTCTGTATGCCCCTGAGGTCATCTCAGGTCATGAAAGGTCTCCAGTAGTTTTTTTTACAATAACTTTCGCTAGACATGCCAGAACGATGAAAACACGTTGTTGGTGTTCAGCTCAACGAAGCGAATCGACTGATGTGCAACATGACCTTTCCCGGTCAGGTCATGACTTTGACCTGAGGTTAATTTTTGAAGTTGATCTTTTTAGGTCAACCTACCTTTCATTTCAACTGATACTTCAATCGGCGCATCCTAACAGGAGGAACGAGATGCCGGTAAAACCAACGTAATATTAATATCAGGAATTCACATGGATCCTAAAAATATGCATTTTCAAAAATCATAGGCGGATACAGATCATTGAGATTGGGGGTACACAAAAAGTATAGTAAATAAGGTTTTTGTTGGTACTGTTTCTAAAAAGGGTGGTAATGGTCTTGTTGTGTTACAATTTTCTTATGAGAGAACGACTACAATTGTATTGGTCATGCATAGGCGGTGTCAGGGCACCTATGTTGGGAGGTAAAACATAACCCCCCTTTTTGGACGCCTGGATCCGCCTATTATAGCAAAAACGTGTCAAAAGAGGATGCACAATAACTTTGATGTTATCACATGATATCTTTCATTCGCTGTTCGTAAAACTGGTACAGCATCGTGATCTTCGCCCAAATGACACGCTTCACGAATAGGACCCCCCATTCCAAGTGCTCTGGGGCCGCCCCTGGTAAAGTTATGAACTTGAAATTTTCAGGGAATGTGCCCAATTTAGTTTTAGGAAAAGTCAGAAAATTTCAGTATCGTAGCTTCAGCGGTTTCGGAGATATTTCCGAAAAACCTGAGGGGTGGATAAAAACAACCCCCCTGCCACTAATAGGGTTAACTGTTAAGTGTTTAGTATGGTTTACGTCGAAAAGGAAAACAATTCAGTTTTCTTCCGAGCTATGACATATAAAGGAGGGGTCGCAAAATTGACCCGACCTTAGGTCAGCAATATTCAAATTCCGAGATAAACTAGTGCTAGTACTGATTCCCTCATGCAAACCCCGAGTTCAAACGTGTAGGAGATAAACTGTAGGAATGACAAAATCGCAAAGTCTTTTAGAGGCATGGTCGCTTAATTTGACCTGGTGAGCTGACCTGAACTGGCCTGCGGTCAAATATTTACACACCATGCAAAATTAATGCGTCACAAGCTATAAGAAGTTTCGTGGCGCTATGCGCCGTGATTTTCTTTTCACACGTAAAAAAACTGACTGGTATGACAACCACGAATGTGAAATCAATGTATACCTACGTTTCGTTAAAATGCGAATGCTCCGAGTTCGAAGCGAAACGGTAAAACGAATCGCTGCAGTAGTTAACTTATTTCTTCTCCAGAAAATTTCTTGATTCTTTATTTGACCACTTATGTAGCCTGGCAAACCTTTACAATATAGAAAACATGGTGGTGCAGAATCAAGACGCCCGTCTTAAAAAAAAAAACATGTTGCATACAACATTCTTTTATCCTAAATAACAGCCGTCTCCGGGCCTTACATCACAGTTTGGCACTCAGTCCTAGCGGCCTTGCCATAATTTTCCTGAGTTGAGCAGCCGTTCTCCACGACGAGGCTAGTCCTTCGATCGACATGTGTCGAGGCAGGCACCGTCAAGGTGACTCTTCTACTTAGAACGAATGAGTATTGAGTGATAAGTGACTTTGGAAGCATTGAGCGATAACAGCAATCCGTCTAACTTCAGTCTGTTTGATAAGCATCGCTTACATTCTGTAGGTATTTTCTAACCTTCCTTGGTGCAGTTTGGAAGTTGGCATGATAGGGGACCCATGGGGCCCCTAGGCCATAGGTTCCCATAGGGGGCCTATGACAGATGATGGCTATGTTTACGCCTGTGGCAATACATTGACTCGGAGTCGGAGTCGGAATGACGCTGCCAGGACTTTGAAACCCTGGTTTGAAGCTTACGTCAGTGACGTCGAAAATAGCCTTGCAAGGGTCTAGACTAGAAAATTCGACCCTGTGATGTCATCGACGGTTTAGGCCCCTGTTTTCACTCCAGAAGATGTCAAATTGAATGGGTGATGTACTGAAAGTTTCGCGCTCCCATTTCTAAACGTTCGGAGGCTATCGCGAATATTCGTGGGGGCCCCCGGGCCGCGGGGTTATTTTTTGTCTTGCAGCACATGCACTTGACCTGTCAGTTGTCACATGACCCAAAATTCATATTTCAGGACCGCTTCAGATGCGTCTCGATGATTTTGTTTCCAACGCCACGTAACACGTCTCACTGCCAAGCTTAGTTTCAAAGATAATATGGGGACGTTAAATGCCCCTTCAGTCAATGTGCTTCGGCTGGACGCTTAATCAAGCGCAGGCTAAAAACAAAACGGGAGAAAAGCTTCCGCCTCAGCTTAAAAAAAAAGAGATGACCAATGCACTGCAAATATTGTTGCACTGCTTTAGTCATTATTTTACATGGTACTGAGATCTAACAATTTCTGTTATTAACAAATCTAAGAATTCCGTTTGATTCTTCTTCAATGCTTATAAATTGCTCATCCCACGCGCGGAATTCACGCAAATTCAGTCGCCCACGTATGAGGCCAAAAGCGCAGAACCGACGTTCTGAAATTTCCTTCTCGGGCAAATTCCAAGAAGCACAAGAGGGCCACCTTCGGCGAATGGTGGCGCTGCGGCCTTCCCGCGGTGTCTGGTGCCGCTCTCAGACGAGCGCCGTCCGGTGACGTCACAGCGTCGAGACCGGCGCGGCGCGGCGTCGGCCGGTCAGAGCACGACCGGTGCCGAGCCGGACCGGAGCGCCGCCACTGGCCGGTCCGACAGGTCCAGAGATGGGGAGACTGTGCCGCTGGCTGCTGCTGCTGGCCGCCGCCGTGGCGGTTCAGCTCAGCGTCGCTGCCGCGCAAGGAGGGTAAGTCAGACGCTGAGGCGAAACTGCACTCAGCACAGTTAGGACAGGAGCTGAGACAGCTAGGACAAGTCGGCACGGCTGGGACAAAAACCGTTCGACTGGCCATTCTGTTCAAATAAGGAATCGAATAGCTCAGTATGTCAATATGTACCTACTTGTCAGCCTATAGGTATTCTTTCTAGTTTGTCACTCACTTGGCAGCAAAATACATTGAATCGAGTTCGCTAACAACACATTTACCTAGCCTCCAAGGCTATGCTAGACGGGGCATTGAGCGCATTTGCCATTAGCCGAGAATGCACCGGCCAGGGCGCGTCGAAAAGTTTGACCGAGGGTACAGTTCAAACCACTGCGCCGAAAATTAAGCGTGTTTTTTTCTTTGTTTCCCGGCTTTTTAAAATTTCAGCGTCAGATTTCAAATCAGAGTTGTGTGAATTGTTCCGCTACCGCTTACAATGACTCGGCAATGACTGAATGCATTGCGCGAGAACTGGGCGTATAGATACGGTAGGCAATTGGCACCCATTGGACGATGCATTTTATGTTGCGCATCACGCATGATTTGCACCGTGCAAGAGCCTATACTACATATCATGAATGGCTGGGCAGTTTGCACAGTTGATGCTTACAACATAGTGATTGGTTAGAGGGTTGGCTTACACGAACTATTTCGATCTCATGTTGCACGTGCGCACGTACAGACTCTTCATCTAAAAAACGGCTGGGGTGATGGATCTCTAATTCAGTAAGCCGTTCGGGGCTGTTGAGAAAGAGAGAAGAGCACATGTCGGCTAAGGTCTCAGTTTGGACGAGCTTATGTTGCACGGGCTAATATTGCGCTCACTCGCCTTCCGGCAAAAATCTGTCTCATTGGTTGTAAGAGAAAGGGAGAGCAAAATATGTTTCGGATTAGGTTGAAATATTTATCTCACAGTATAGGTATGTACAGTTTTTTTACGATTCCTTAATATGTCACAGCCATGTAAAAAAGAATTGTGCATTTTTCAATATCTATTTTTGAATGTTTTTAACTTTTTTGAATGTCACACGAGACAGAAAAACGACATCCTGAAAATAACACGAGTTTTTTGCCTTTAAACACGTTACTGTTTAAAGTACCTAAAGCTGAATGCATTTTAGTTTACGGATGAAACTGCAGATATTATCCCTTCATTGAACTAGCCGAATTATTTCACCGACTTCAATGTATTCAATGTTGGGTGATTATGCTGCAATTTGGTGGGTTTTGCGACTGTCTGGCCATTTTTTTTTTTAGTTTTTGCAACGTGACCCAGTATCTGCGGAAGACTTACGAGATAAGCCGTTTTCACGACGGCCATCTGGTACACATTTGGTGCACATTTGGTGCAGATTAGGTGCAGATTTGGTCAAATTAGGTTCAATGTGTCTCTTACTAGCTATCAGCTAGGGTTGCACTAATTGCTTATATGCCTGCTTTGACATGCATTGCCTATTAGCAGAGAGTATCATCGATGAAAACACTGAAATAAGTTCATAAGATACAGATATTTGCTGTAAAAGAGATTAGGTGCAGATTTGGTCAAATTAGGTGCACTCGCCGGATAGCCCGTCGTAAAAACGGCCATTATCGCCTTTATGCCAGCTATCAAACCGAGTGGGTCAAAGTGTCGAGACAAATAGATACACAGATGTCTGTGTGAATTTTTTTAATGATTTTATGTCTTATAAGAAGAGTATCGCGCTGATGGCGCAATGTCATGACCCGTTTCAGGTTTTTCTTCCCGGATGAAGAGCCGCCGGCACCAGGGATCCGCGCACGGTAAACAGCACTAGCTCGTCGGCCGCGGCTTTGCAATTTAACAGGGGCAACGGCTTTTCCCAATATTTAATGAATACCAGTTATTTTAACTATTTTCAAAATTTGAGGATTTAGGATTGAAAAAAACGATCTATATGATAGCTTCCAGATACAATTAATCACATCGTGACATCGTTGGTGGGTCAAATTTTCAACGTAACTTTTCGAGGTCAATTTATCCCTCGCCCGTATTGGTGTTTTGCCAGCCGTGAACTATAAGGGCTTTTATAGTTCACCGTGAACTATAAGGGCCCTTGCCGTTTGGCCCCTGGTCGAGCTAGAGCTTCGCGGAAAAAGACGACGTGCTGCCCGTGACGATTGGAAGCCAATGATACCCAATTTTAAGATCCTAGGTCATTGATTGACCTTCCAGGTTAGGTCAATGACCCAAAAGTCGGGAAACTCGGTACTTGTTAGAACGTCGTAAAGTGTGGCTGCTTTGTTTTTTTTTTTCGGGGTGTTGATCACGAATATCATGTTAGTTTTGATCACAGATGATGTCTTCTTGCATTTAGACCAGGTCGAGTCAGGTCAGGTCAGGTCAACCAGTATGGGTCCTGCCGGGTATTTGTAGTAGGTGTTAACCGCCTCTGACAGCTTCGTAACATGTTACGAAGGCACCAAAGCTACTTCGTTAATATTCAAATGGCTGCTATAAATTTGAAATCAGCTCCAAAAATTAGGATAGAAACGTTGAAAGCTCGAAAAAGTGAACCGAGGTCATCAAAGGTCAGTGACCTGACCTGATCTTCAGGTGATCCTGACGGCTGACACCCACCCTAATGCATGGGACCAACAGCATATCACATGTTTGAACGCCTGAAACCACGAAAAGACTGCAAACGCGCGGCTAATGCGAGCCGACTTATGTTTGTATACGCCGAATCGCGATCCTGGCCAAACATGGTCTCGAAAAGTAGGTCACAGGTCAAAGGTCATTTGGGTCAGGGTCATGAAATTTTGGAGGTAGAGGTACAATTGATTAACGCGAAGGTACTGAAAGTTTCGTTGTGATCGACCGCATTTTACGTGAGTTATTCGCGAAAAACCAAGGGGGTCCGTTCACCCCCCGCCCCATACACGGGCGAGGGTTACAATTCATTCGACTTGTAATTCATTCGACGTGTCTTGGCGTCTGGCGAGAGAACCACTATGCTGGTTAAATATATATTGTATTTTTACCAAAGCAATAGCTGACGATGTTTCCCATAAAATGTCTATTTCGCCGATACTGTCAATTTTGGAAGCGAGGCTGATGACATGAGCTCAAATCTGACGACTTATTTAATGAAAACTCATTAGGACGGCTACCGGCTGCGTTTATCCGCGCCGCTGAAACTCTCAGTTTACGAGTTGTGCCGATTTTCTCAATGGTATCGAAATCGGGACATTTTGACTTTGGATCTCCAGTGACCTCAGCATTGACCTGAGCGAAATATATTCTAACACTTGAAAGTACTCTGGGCTAATTAACATTTTTGCGCGCCTTCAGTTTGTTCTTTGATTTCGATAATCGGGTTTGACAAAAAAGAAAGAAAGCCACCATACCGATTTGTTCTATATCGACTAACAGGGGCGTATCCAGGAAAACTCCAAGGGGAGGGTCATGAATCGAAGTGGTGCCCCTACCTATACCCAAAATTAAAAACTCAACGGATTTCGTCCACTTAATTTTGGTGGTGCCCCCATTTTCAGTTTTTTTTATTTATTTTTTATTTTTAGTCAGTATCTTAACTCTTACCCACAACCACATTTACCAATTGTAAGCAAGTATATATGAATGTGTTATGTGTATATATGTTGTGGACGCTGAGTAGTGAGTACTTACCAGGAACGTTATCAGGTAAGCGAATCGTTGTCAGTCCGACGAACTTGACCCTGGCGTCTAAAGGGTCTGTCCTTGACACTTCAGGCTTGTCAGGGGCACCAAAGTCCTTCCAGGGACACCACAAACCTGTCAGGGGCACCTACGGCCTTGTAGGGGCGCCACAGGCCCGCCAGGAAGCAGGGGCACCACAGGCCTGCCAGGAAGCAGGGGCACCACAGGTCTAGCAAGTATACACGACAGGCCTGTCAGGGGCACAACGGGCCTGTTGGGCCCATGAGCACCCCTAGGGGCAGGGGCACCACAGTCCTTCCAGGGGCACCGCAGGCCTGTGAGGGGCACCAGCGGCCTAGCAGGGGCACCAGTCAACACAGGCCTGCCAGGGGGCACCACAGACCTGCCAGGGGCACCAGAGGCCTGTCAGGAGCACCACCGACCTCGCAGGGGTAACTTGGGCCTGTCAGGGGCACCACGGGCCTGTCGAGAGGCACTTCAGGCTTTTCAGGGGCACCATAGTCCTCTCCGGGCGCAGGGGTAGCAGGGGCACCAGAGGCCTGCCAGGGGCACTACAGGCCTAGCAAGGGCACCACTGTTCTATCAGGGGCACCACGAGCCTGTCATAGCCAGGCATCTCAGGCTTGTCAAGGCCCAGGGGCACCACAGGTCTGTGAGGGGCACCAGCGACCTAGCAGGGGCACCAGTCAACACAGGTCTGCCAGGGGCGCCACAGACCTGCCAGGGGCACCACAGACCTGCCAGGGGCACCAGAGGCCTGCCAGGGGCACCACAGGCCTAACAAGGGCACCACGGGCCTGTCAGGGGCACCTCAGGCTTGTCAGGGCCCAGGGACACCACAGTCCTTCCAAGGGCACCGCAAGCCTGTCAGGGGCACCAGAGGCCTGCCAGGGGCACCACAGTCCTTCCAGGGGCATTACAAGCCTGTCAGGGGCACCAGAGGCCTAGCAAGGGCACCACAGGCCTGCCATGGACACAACAGGCCTGCCAGAGGCACCACCGGCCTTGCAGGGGCGCCTCAGGCCTGTCAGGGGCACCACGTGCCTGCCGGGGACACTTCAGGCTTGTCAGGGGCGTTACAGTCCTGTCAGGGCCCAGTGGCACCAGGCCCGTGGTGTCCCTGCTAGGCCTGTGGTGCCCCTGGCGGTCCTGTGGTGCCCCTGTCAGGACTGTGATACCCCTGATAGGCCGGTGGTGCCCCTGGCAGGTCTTTGGGCCCCCGGGCCTCAAGGGGGGGGGCCATGACCCATGTGACCCCCCCTTGGATCCGCCCCTGTCGACTAATGAGCTTGAAGTGTCACTTAGGTATTTGGTGTTGAGTGCAACAGTGTCGACTCTTGAATGGCATGGCCAGTAATAGATGCATAAATAGAATAGTTATACAAGTCGATGCTGTATTCGAAAATTAAGGACTGTAACCAGGGCCCTAAAATGCTTGCAACTACTAACCGCATGCAACCATCATTGCGAAGCGTTTCATCCGTAGTAAATAAACCTTTTCTTGCTTAATAACAAACAAGCAAATATAAACTACGAATAATAAAATGTGCAAGTTTGTTTCCTTCTTATCATTAAGTAGTTCCTACCTTGCAATAGAAAATAGATTTGCGCCAGCCTTGCACCAGAAAATAGCTTTGCAACTTAGATAAATATTTGCATGCAATAAGTAATAGTTGATGAGTTGGAAAAATGAGCGGACAGTCTAGGGAGCATTAAAGGGACCCTCCCACCTTCAAAAAAGTTTATGAATTGGCATGAAAGTGATGTCGCTCGATTCAGAAAGAGCGAAAACGAATATCTACCAAATTTCACCGAAAAATATTCACCGGTTTTCAAGATATTAGACTTTTACTTTTGTTTACTTTTTGGGGATCTCCGCTGTTTCTAGCGACTTTATTTTAGAAGTGCGGCGTTTGCGGCAGATGTTGCGCGCAAATAGCATATACCACCGCGTGCTACAAAACGGTTTAGTCAAACATTTAAAAATCGTTAGATATCTGCGCTGACGTCACACATTCAGAGGGGTATTCCTAAGCATTAGCCCCTCTGAATCAAAATGCTGCAATTTTGAAATTCAATATTTCCGATTTAAAGGGACCCTCCCACCTTCAAAAAAGTTAATGAATTGGCATGAAAGTGATGTCGCTCGGTTCAGAAAGAGCAAAAACGAATATCTACCAAATTTCATCGAAAAATATTCACCGGTTTTCAAGATATTAGACTTTTACTTTTGTTTACTTTTCGGGATCTCCGCTGTTCCTAGCGACTTTATTTGAAAGTGCGGCATTTGTTGCGCGCAAAGCAGCATATACCACCGCGTGCTACCAAACGTTTTAGTAAAAGATTTAAAATCGTTAGATCTCCGCTGACGTCACAAATTCTAAGGGGGCATACCAATGCATTAGCCCCTTAGAATCCGAAAACTGCAAGTTTGAAATTCGATATCTCCGAATTTCAGCATTTTTCGATGTTGTGAGTGCCCAAACCGGTATTTTCAGGCCATGGCCACCAATTTGGCTATCTCAACTCAAATCTAATGTTAAGGTGGGAGGGTCCCTTTAAGGCATTTCTCGATGTTGTGAGTGCCGAAACCGGTAATTGTGAGCCAGGGACCCCATTTTGGCTATCTCAACTCAAATCTAATGTTAAGGTGGGAGGGTCCCTTTAAGGGAACATTATACTCTAAGCACGTTTTTTTTTTAACAGAAAGAAAATTGAAGGGAAATGTCATCACGTCTACACACCTTATTCGTTGCAGAAGACTATAATTATCACATATGTATTTAGGCAACCATATAAAGTCGCCACCCAGCCCGCTCGCAAAACTTCTCCTCTTGTGCCCACTGTCGATTTCCTTCCGTTACAAACAGTCTCAATCTTTGTCACACGTTCCTTACTACCGGAGAAGCTTGGGCTCTTGTATTCCTTCCTTTAGATTTCAGCGCCACTTCACTCCTGATCCACACTATAGGACACTGTTGGGGTCCTTCCGCGCTGTTGAAGTCAGCAGGCACTGCCGCAGATGGCGTGTACGCTGACGGCCCGTGGCCGGTTCCAGGTTCGGCGAGCGGCCGACCTCCGCTCGCCGGTATCCCTCAAAGGTGAACCGCGGCGGCAGCAAGGTGTTCCGGCCCGGAGCGAGTTCCAGTCGCTACCGCGGCGGCTGCGACGAGATGCCCGATACGCCCATGTCGGCCGTGCTGCAGTGTTCCACCTTCAGCGGCTGTCGGGCCACCTGTATGGACGGGCACCAGTTCCCAAACGGCGAGAGTATGATCCAGATCCGCTGCACGGGGGGCGTCTGGAGGCCCCAGCCGCCGTATCAGGAGATACCCAACTGCGCGCGTGAGTCACCGCCCGTCTGCCGACGGAGGGAGGGAGGGAGAGAAAGAGGGAGAGGGAGAAAGGGAGGGAGAGAGGTAGGGAGGGGATGGACAGAGAGAGAGAGAGAGAGAGAGAGAGAGAGAGAGAGAGAGAGAGAGAGAGAGAAAGAGAGAGATAGAGATAGAGAGAGAGAGAGAGAGGGAGAGAGAGAGAGAGAGAGAGAGAGAGAGAGAGAGAGAGAGAGAGAGAGAGAGAGAGAGAGAGAAGAGAAAGAAAGAAAGAAAGAAAGAAAGAAAGAAAGAGCATGTGTGCATCTTATGCGTGCCTGTGTAGTGTGTATGTGTTAACTGTTATATCGCAGGGAATTAATTTGCCATTGTTAGAAGTGACCCGGTGGACACTTTCCGGGCGTGGTTCGTCGCTTCTCACGCCATGTACCTACTCTTGCAGCGGTTTGCCAGCCGGAGTGTCAGAACGGCGGCGTGTGTATTGGACCCAACGTGTGCCAGTGCCAGACGGGTTTCAGCGGGCCGACCTGCGAGGAGCGGCTGGAGCAGTGTAACGAGCCCAGACCCACCATCTACAACGCGCGCCTGCGCTGCAGCGACACGTGAGTCGACACGGGGAACGCGCCGACAGTTCACCGCCGCCGGCTCTCACGGTGTAATGGGACACTGCGCCGACCGGGCGACGCCCAAGGGCTGAAACCTGATCTTGCACAGGGAAAGTTACGAGGCACAGCTCGCATTACGACCACGCTGATAACACTTTGGGAGTCAATTAGCTTTTCCTTTTAAAACCCAGTCATCGCAGTCACAGACGAATCCTCTTTTTTTCGCAGTCGCTGCTCGGTGGTTTGTATGAAGGGCCATGAGACTGCCGATCACCGGACCACATTCGAGATCCAGTGCACTGAGGAGCTAGGCTGGACGGCCGTGGACAGCGCCAGTGACACGATCCCCAGCTGCCAGCGTGAGTGGACAGACCTTTCAATGACGGTTGGTGCAGCATCAGGGATGGGTAGTTTGGAGGCGGTGTGTATTTTGTATGCAGCGGTTTTGAACGTATTTTACTTGTACTATAGGATAGCCGTATAATTGGGATCGCTGGCTTTGGAGAATGGGCCCCTAGTTATAGCCAAGGTAATATTTCAGTTCGTTATGAGACATTCTCTCGATAGCTGTCGACTCGTTCTACGGTTCTGTACGCGACCGCAGTGCTCTGCGGTCCCATGCAGCAACGTCAGTCCTACTGCCTGTGAGTGCCGCTGTGCCGCCGAACCGGTGAGCTCGGCGGCACAGTCTACCTTCCCGAGCGCCGCGGCGCCGCCGCCCGGCCTTACGCCGTCAGTCTCAGCCGTCCATGGACGGCCGTTCAGTCGAAGACTCAGGGCGGCTAGTTGGACATTAGGCGACGTGTCACGTCCCTCCTTATCTTTTTTTCAGTTGCTTTTCATCAAGCATTTAACCTGAGTGCCCATGATTTTTATTTGTAGTAAGATCATTTCACCTAAGAACATTTTACGGGGTAACATCGGACTAAGACCACAGGTCCGGCATCGGGGAACGCGGTTGGTGGTAACGAAACCCGTTTTAAGCCCATAATTTTTATAGGGTAGTGTGGGGTAATTTGAACATATTTTTACGTCTTCTCCATTGTACCAAATTCCAGTTCAACCCTGGATGAAGAAAAACTGCTTCAGTAGCACAAGTGTCACTTGCTTTCACCATGCAAGCCTCATTTTGGGACGAGCCGAGCATACCTTGAATAGCATAGCCTCACTTCTCCACCAAGTCACGGTGTGTTCAAATTGCCCCACCGTGGGGTAATTTGAACATACTGCCTTTACCTGTCATAAAAACGATAGTCTCGCCAGCACCGATGTTGTTTGACCCATAAACAAATAGGCAGAACAATTCTAAACATACCTTCACTTGAAAAATCAACACAACAGCAAAAATAACAGTTGCAGAGTATCAATATCTGCACGCTGCACACCGGTCAGTTGACAGAATTCGTCCCTTTTCAATTAACAGAACGTCTATCATTTTTGTTCGATAAAAACTCTCCCAACCGTACTACATCTGTTAAAGTGGTGCCAATCGAAACCTGGACATTTGGAGTTCTGATTTTGTCCAATGTCCAATTCGGAATTGGTTGTACAAAGGTAGCAGACTGGACAACATTGGACGATGGCTTGCTACACTTCAGCGCTTTTTATAAAGTAATCGTGCATAGCATTGATTGGCGAATGGAAAGCTTGTTAAGCTGTCAATATAATGAAAACTTTTCGGCTGGTAAAATTACATGATAAGCAATATAAATGACGGTTTTGAGTGTTGATAGCTGCATAAATTTTCGGACATATTTGGACAAATAGTTGACTTTAACATTTTTGGACGGAAAATCAACAAAAATGCCGGACATTAGACGGATATTAGACGTAAATTTTCTAAAACTGGCATCACTTATCTGCTACTGCCTTGGGTCGAAAATATTGGCAAAAAAAAAACTGGGAGCGTTGTTTTTTTCGGAGCTATCCCTGTCTTCATTCAAATTCTCACACTATGTTCAAATTTCCCCACGCTAAAAGCTATTTTGCCATTTTAAAAAACAGGATTCAAAAGCAAATTTCTTGGATTGAAGGCACTGATTAGGTCATTATACAACAAAAGCCGTTGCGTATTAGGCGCTAGCAATGCAAGATTTTGCGCTGCAATGAAGTTGCAATGACGTGTTGTTAGGCGTTTTTCCTTGCGAAATTGATTTTTTACACTGTGCGTCAACATCTTCATTCCCTGAAACTTTAAACCCCGTTCATATGATAGCCCTTTTAGTTACGATAATTTCTCTCATTGGTCTTATTGTCATGCGACTTATGGATTTTCCGTAATTTTGTGTTATTCACACTATGTTCAAATTGCCCCACATGTTCAAAATACCCCACCCTACCCTATAGTTCATGCAAAAAAAAAATCCCGAAATTCAGATATATCGGTCGCGGATGCGATCTTCTTGTTTCCGTTTTAGCGAATCCCATGCCGGAGACTGAGGATGCTGAAACGGCGAGCTTTTTTTAATCGAAATCTGTGGCCTACGGCTGTGCCCTAAATAAGTCATCATTGTAATCAGAGTTTACCTACTGTCTAACTCTCACTGCACGTCACAATATACCTTTTACTTTTCAGCTATTTGTCGACCCAAGTGCCAGAATGGCGGCAAATGCATATCTTTCAACCTGTGCCAATGCCCGAAGCAGTATCGCGGTCCGTCTTGCCAGTGGTGTGAGTATAGAATGTTAACTACACGGTGGCTACGGAAGTCCTACTACTGGATGATTCTTTTCTTGCGGCTCTTGTTTATTGAGTTACAGGTATTACCAGTGATAATTTGGAGGTTTGCTAGCAGCAGGCATTGACAACGGAAACGCGTTCAGTAATTGTTAATCGTTTTTGTAGTTATGTCTTTCCTCTTGACCGTGTATTATTATTCGGTCCAGCCGTGGAGAACTGCAACCCGAAGACGCAGCTCAACTTTAACGGCGCGTACAACTGCTCGGGGCGCGGCGACCAGTTCGGGTGCCAGCTGTCCTGTCCCGAGGGACTCGAGTTCAGCTCTCCGCCGGCGGCCATCTACCAGTGTGACTACAGCACGGGCCAGTACAGCCCGCTGCCGATCCCGCAGTGTCAGGGAGGTGAGAGCACATCGTCAGTGTTTGGGGCCGGGTGGGGTGGGAACACTTTAGATGGTTACATTATTAGATGGATAGTTAGCGTAGCTGTGTTGACCTGTGCATTACACAATATGTATGTCGTTCATCTGTGGCTTCCACTTGCTGATATTTTCGTGCTACTTTCGCCGGCAACTGAACTTTTAAATATACCCAAGGCAGACGCGCTGTTAGATTCCTTTACATAAATTTCTTAGCGATATCGTTTTTCTTCAGAATACGAGGTGATTCCACCAACCACGGCGACTTTTCCGACCCGGGAGACGGACCCTGAGCCGAGGGAATGCGCTCTCTGGTCCGGAAAGCACGTGAAGACGTTTGACGGTCAAGTATACAGGTGAGGCCGGCGGCACAAATGCAATGGGTCACAGAATGGTCTTTTTATTCAGGCTCCCTGCATTGTCCGAGATAACCTCTGGATTCGGCGGTCTGCCAAGTCGTCTGTGTAATTTTCCGCTTCTCCATTTAGCGTCATTTCTCTGTGTGCAGTTTCACTGGCGGTTGCGAGTTCACGGCCGTGCGGGACGCGGTGACGTCCCTGTTTCGTGTGTCGGTGGTGCGCGGCTGCCAGCGTCCCGACTGCGGCTGGAACCTGCGACTCACCGTGGACCGTACCGTGCTGCTGCTGGCGGCTGGTGATGACGGCGGAGTCACCGTCACCGCGGTCAGTACGGAACACTGTCTGAGTCGTACTGTCAGTCCGAAACACTGTCCGAGTCGTAATGTGAAATGTCAATCCGGAACACTGTCGCAGTCCTGTTATCAGACCGAAACGAACCACTTCGAGCCGTACGGCGTCCAAACTGTCGGCCCGGAACACTGTCCGAGACAGTTGTCAGTCAATAGCACTGAAGGATAGCTGAACGGTCACCTGTCCGTCCTGATAATTGTACTTTGCTTCTTTAGCCCTGCTTGCCTGTTCCATTGTGTGTAAGTACTGCTTTGAACTCGTTCTCCTTGGTCATATCATCCAGAGAGTGTCCTTTTCATTGTCAGCAATCAGGAGTGTCGTGCGTCATTTCACTTTTTTCTGCGCGTTTTACAGGAGCAGGGCCTGTACTCGGGCCAGCCGACCTCCGTCTCCGTGCCCTCCGAGGTGGACGGGCTGGTGCTGGAAAAGGAGAGCGGCAAAACGGTGATAGTGCGCGCCAGCAGCATCGGGCTCACCGTACGCTACTCGAAGGTAAGAAGACGACTCACCGCGCTTTACTCGTACTGAGTACCGAACAGCGGGCTCAGCATGCGCTATTCACGGGTAAGTAACGCTGATGCAGCCGAACGGGCTGAACGGGCTCAAAGACGCTGAACGTATATTTAACAAGGGACAGAGGCCGAAGCAACAGATATGGGTTCATAAGAAAGGAAAGATAAGAGAAGTATGTAATATGTATGTGCGTATATTCCAAAAAAAAAGATGAAAGGATGCAAGGCCATCACAATGTCATTCGCAAAGGCTGTACTTAGCACCTTGCTCCATCACGTTTTCCCTCATTCAATATAATCGGTTTCATCGAAGAAAATCCAGAGCAAACAGTCCATACCTTATCTCTGAGTGTGTGTGCTGTGTCTCTGCTGCTGCCCCAGGATATTATCGTTTTGCCTGCCTCTGACTATATTGTGTGCTGTGTCTCTTCTGTCCCAGGATATGATAGTGCTGCATGCCGAGTCGTCTCTGTGGTCCACTGTGCAAGGTCTGTGTGGCAACCTGGACGGCAACAGCTTCAACGACATACTGTCGGATGGTCTGCGCGGCACGCTGGACTACTACTCCAACCTCGGTCAGTGGATAAATAGTTTATTTTAATCTTTTTGTTACGCGCTTTATGTGGTCTCTTCCAGTTTAAAATGGTGAATCTATATAGATAAACTGTACCTAAAGCAGAATATTTTGCTTTTTTCCACGAGTTTTTTTTTTTTTTGACGAAGGATAGGTATACATTACGACTGAGGAAGGTAAAAAAGGTCGGCAGACTTTGACTAAGAGAAACATATATTTTTCTGAGTTATTATGCCATTTAGGGTGGCATTTATGTTTTATACCTATAGTTGGTCTTGGTCAAATCTGTTTACCGTTTAACATCTATATGTTGAGTGTTCCTCCGTCTTGTATCTGAATCTCACACCGAAATATCTAATGCTCATTACAAGCCTACATATGCTCAATACTCACGCTACGTTTTGCCGCTGTTCCCAGAGCTGTGTCCCGCCGGCCCCGTCTCCCTGGATCTCACGTGCAGCGGCGCCGCGGAGCGTCAGGCGCGCGCAGCCTGCTCCCAGGCGCTGCAGCTCGCTGACGTGTTTCTGCCGTGCCAGGAGGTAAGAACTCCTATTGGCACAGATGAGGGCAGCTCAGGACTAAGAGTAATGCCTATTGGCACAAATGAGGGCAGCTCAGGACTAAGAGTAATGGCGAGTCTCCATTTTGTTTTCCATCGCCTTTCGTTATAGGTGGATAGCAATGCTGACAATGCCACTGTCGTGTCTTTGCCCAGAATGTGGGCGTGGAGTACTTCCTGCGGGCCTGTATGGCCGAGTACTGCCACAGCCTGTCCCAGGCGAGCTCGGCCCCGGGAGGCTACTCGACGGGCGACGCGAGCACAGCCATCTGCTCCACGGTGGCCGCTTTTGCCACCGAGTGCGAGCGCGTGACGTCACGCCAGCTCAGCTGGAGGTCGGAGGAGTTCTGTCGTGAGTACCGAGCTAACTGACGTGGCTACCCGTCATGCGTACAAAACAGCAGATAAAGTAGGCAAACAAAAATAACCAGCAAATAAGGCACGACACTAATTAACAGATTAACTCGTACACTGGACCATGGCGATTTTCAACGACTTTAATATCACTGAGTATTGGTTGTCATGATTTTTGGCCAAGAGGTCTGCGCCCAAGCCTGCGCCTGTATCAGACCATTGACACTGCGCAAATTGAAATGCTGGGGTAAGGTCTGGCGTGAAAGTTTTTATTTCGGTGCGAGGGTCGCGCCTGCCCCGGGCCCGGCGTGTCCCGGACGCCGTGCTCTGGCGCGGCGGCGGCCCCCTTTGAACGGCGCCGGTCAAAACAGGGCCGGGCCGCGGTGGGCTGGCGAGTGTGTCCGTGGCAGTGCAGTCGGGCAGCTGGCCTCTGAGCGCGCCGCCGCCAGTCGCCAGTGGCCGCGCCAGCCGTAAATACCGGCAGATAACCGAGCCGCCGGACCCTCACCGTTCCCGGAACCGGGACCAATATGGACCGACTATCGTCTCTAATTAGTCCAATTTTCGGGTTATGTTTCGCCAGGCGCGCGAATTAATTAGCTTTTGGCACATTCCTCGGATCGTTTGCGGCCCTAAATCGCAAATCCCTCTGGTAAATATTGTCATTCCGATTTAATTGTAAGTCAAACATATGTTGACATCGGATCCTGGTTCATGCCTCTTCGATGATGATTAGTCATTGGAATGCGGTGGTATGGGCGGGTAATGTTTTATCCAGCCCCAATGATTTCGACTGCTGGCTTCCTTCTTGCTAGCCCCCTATCAGAAGCCTTGAGATATTTGGGATGCCATTTAAAGTGTATGTTACCGCAGGAGGGACTAAATCATATTGCTTTTCCCTTTTTAAATACCTACTGAATGCAGCGTTCGTATCCTGCGCTTTTATCTAAAAGCTATTTATATACACTGTGCTAAAAGCGTACTGCGCTGAACGTTCTTGGAGACACTTATATGGCCTTGCTTGGCGAGAGAATGCAGTGATATCCACGCATTGTCGGTGAATGGTGAATTTCTTTATTTACATTATTCTGCTTTTTATCAGCTTTGTCGACACTTGCATAGCACAATTATATGATTTCATAGGCAAAACAGATGATACGACAGCACTGAGAGCATACCTAAGGAAGATAAAGCGTGATGCTCGACTGATCATGACGCTCAATGACGATTGACCGTCCGGATGTGGCACAGAGGACGCGGCTTTCTCCGCTGAACTTACATACTCTTATCGAAATTGTGATGTTATTACAATAACTTACTCATGAGTGATGAGCTTTTCCGTTTTGGTCATAGCTCACTTCCGACCCATTCGAGGTCAAGGTCGAGCCGTGTTCAAATTCGTTGCAAACGGCGCGCATGCAACCAAACGGCCAAAGCACGTTATATCTCGTATATTTATAGGCATGTGTATACAAGCTTGAGCATGCTCTTTATTGCTGATGTTCCCTTCGTTGAATATACATATACAAACTAAGCTTACTGCTGTTCGCTGTCCTTTCGTCAATCTTTGGAGGCTGGCAGATGGCGAATATCACAGACACACACACGCACACTGCACGTGTGTCGTCTACCCACGCGCAGCAGTTATCAGTTTTGTCGCTGTGTCTGGCCGCCCTGCCCCGCTGACCGCGTGTGTCCGGCAGCGCTGCCCTGTCCCGCTGACCGACCCCCCGGGTGTGTCCGGCAGCGCTGCCCTGTCCCGCTGACCGACCTCCCGGGTGTGTCCGGCAGCACTGCCCTGCCCCGCTGACCGACCCCCCCCCCCCCCCCGGGTGTGTCCGGCAGCGCTGCCCTGTCCCGCTGACCGACCCCCCCCCCCCCCCGGGTGTGTCCGGCAGCACTGCCCTGCCCCGCTGACCGACCTCCCGGGTGCGTCCGGCAGCGCTGCCCTGTCCCGCTGACCGACCTCACGGGTGTGTTGTTCGGCAGCACTGCCCTGTCCCGCTGACCGACCTCCCGGGTATGTCCGGCAGCGCTGCCCTGTCCCGCTGACCGACCTCCCGTATGTGTCCGGCAGCGCTGCCCTGTCCCGCTGACCGACCTCCCGGGTGCGTCCGGCAGCACTGCCCTGTCCCGCTGACCGACCTCCCGGGTGTGTCCGGCAGCACTGCCCTGCCCCGCCGGTCAGATATTCAGCGCGTGCGGCGTGCCGGCGGCCGGCCGCTGCGGCGCCTCCGTGTCCGACTCATGGCTCTGTGAGGAGGGCTGCGCCTGTCCGGAGGGTCTGCTGATGGACGGCGACCAGTGCGTGCCGGCCGAACAGTGCTCCTGCCGCCACAACGGCGTCCAATACCAGGCCGGCGACACCGTCCAGCAGGACTGCAACACTTGGTAATTTAGTACAGAACTGCAACACTTGGTAAATTTAGTACAGGACTGCAACACTTGGTAATTTAGTACAGAACTGCAACACTTGGTAGATTTAGTACAGGACTGCAACACTTGGTAATCCACTACGACTGATATGTGGCAGCCATTCCAGTCTACATATGGCCTTATCCACCAATGGATGAGAATGCATTCTAAAGTTTATGTCGATGTCATTGCCGTAAAAGCAATATGCTCCTATAGTGCACTTGACATGATGTACGCACAAATCACCGAACGTTCCGTACTGCTAGGGCTTGGATTTGTATAAATCGACCTAATATATTGACAGTTTGTTTCATATGGCATCTATAGCTTTACTACTTTCCTATCAGGTGATGCTTTGATGCGACGAAGTCATGAGATGCATGCATGCATTTAATGACTTTAACTGCGCAGTGCGGCCTTAGGTGATCCCTTACCTTTTGGTCACCTTTGCTGGTCTGAAAAATAATGCTGGTGAAGAGAGCAGTGATGTGATTGGACTGAGTGACTGCGTTAGACCGATGCCGAAGCTAACCGTTGTGTTTTTCCTGGACAGTGTCTGCACATCTGGCGAGTGGCGCTGCACCGAGCTGGCCTGTCCGTCACAGTGCGTGGTCGCCGGCGACCCGCACTACCTCACCTTCGACGGACTCCGCTACGACTTCCAGGTAACGGTCATCGTGATGTCGGTGATTGATGCCATTAACTAATAAAATGCGTAAATTCAGATAGAATTATTTCAGTGAGCTACGAGGAAGTGTTCAGCTTAGCTTTGCGATGGCCCTTCTTAGGCCGATGGGTTATCGTCACGCTGAAATTATTAGCGGAGCTCATCGGCATTTGAGTATATTTCGCGATTATTTGATTGCATTTTAGTTTGCCTATTTGTTTATCCCAACAGCAGACAATCTGCGACCCCCGCTGACAATGCTATTTCTCGCCTATCTTCAGGGCAAATGCAGCTACTACCTGGTGCAGTCGGACCGGTTCAGCATTCAGGCAGAAAACGTCCCGTGCTCAGGAGCCATCTCAGAGGTGAGCGGAAGCGACGCCCAAAGCCGTACAAACAGTGCGGCGAGAGGATAGGTCTACCAAAGCATGTGTGGTGTTTATTTAGTCTCACAGATGTGTAGTCCGCTGTGAGATATCGCGGTCTGTTCCTGCCGGCAGAAACTCAACTACCACCCCTCGACCCTGCCCGGCGAGCCGTCCTGCACCAAGTCGGTGCGGCTCGAGTACGAGGGCGTCACCGTCGACCTGAAGCAGAACCTGCAGGTGCTCATTAACGGAGAGACGCCGCCCATGATACCGTGGTGGGTGGACGGCGTCTACATCAAGTACGCCTCGTCGCTGTATATCTCAGGTGAGTTGGACGTTAGATAAGTCGCCACCCTCTACATTACACACAGAACGCAATACACCGGCGGGCTCATACACAGTAAACACATCCAATCTTTTTTCTCCCATTCTGGGGTCAGCTTGACCGTTTGTTAATAGTCCGTAAAGAAGCTTCTCTGGCACATCTTGAAATTCACTGAGCTGCCTGCTCCAGTGACAGACTGTCACTGGTATATGGCACAATTCCTTCCGGTGTCGAGGTCTAACTGTCACCTCCTAGTCTCTCTACCCCCAGTGACACAGTATATGCTACCCTGAATGACGCTGACCGACTTCTACCCCGCAGTTACGCTGCCGAACGGCC